GCAGCAGCAGCAGCAGCAGCAGCAGCAGCAAATCGCGAAACCGTTCCAATGAATCGACAAAAGTCAGAGTCCCCGACCCGCCATTCATGCTGCTGCTGCATGGGCTCTCGTCATGTACTCTACTACGAGGTATGTGTCAACACAGCCCAGGTGCTTTGCTGCTCTCACACTTCGGCGTTATGGACATTGACTGCCACCGGTCTTTGTGCGCACGAACCCAGCGCGACTCTCATCGTACCGGCACACACGATTTCTGAGGAGCGCGTACGTATTCTCGCAAAAGTCCGGGGCCAACCCCCTGTTCTTCTCATTTGGCTCACTAGGCGCACGGCAGGTGGGTGGCTTGAACACATCGCAGACGCGGCCGGCCGTTCCATCGGTGCTTCGGCACATGAGAAGGGTCAGTCAGCATCAGCTCATCAGCAAGTAGGGCGAAGCTGACTTCATTATTGAGCGTGTTTGCCTGCTACACGCTTGCGATTGCTGCCCATCCTCGCACTCGATCTGCAGCCTGACTTCGTCTGCCCACTTTATTGAGCCGCACATCCCACAAAGATGCGCCGCCAGCCTCTGACACACCCAAAGCCAAAACAGGCACGCGGTGTCCGTCAGGCCTTGCCTTGTACAAGTCGCTGAAGACATTTGGGCACCACGAGCCTCTCAACGGCTTCTCCGTGCCGCCGTCTCTTCCTCGCGATGTCTTGGCTGCTGCTCTGAGAATTTCGCTTGCAGCTAGCAGCCAAGGAAACAATCACCCAGGGTCGTTCGAATGGTCAGCATGCAGCGACAGAGCATGCATGCTTCCGCAGACTGAGGCGGGGGCTGGGGCACTGCTTCGGCACGGCGAATTGCACCGCCGCAACACATTGTCACTTATTTGAACGGGCATCTTACCCGCGTCACTTTGTGCAGCCAGGGTTCAGCTGAGCTTGTTTCAACAAACCTGCTGACGGACGCGCCCTCATCACAGGTCAAGCGGCCCGGCACGCGAGACGGACGCGTGACCGCGACATCCAGCTACGCGAAGGCCGCGCGGTGTGAGCCGTTGCGCCACGCGACCTCGCAAACTGGCGTGCATGCATGTATGCATACATGCAGATATATGAGGCTAGGGTCATCCTGCTGCCAGAAAAGGCTCGGACTCTGTGATGGGAGCCACGATGCAGTAAAGCGTGAGCCCTTGAGTGCTGCCGCATAAGTGCATATGTATGCGTGCCTTGGCCCTTGATCGAGCGAGCTTGCATGCAGCATGCTGCCGGCAGCCGCTCCCAACGGAGACGCTCTCGCAGCCGCAAACCAGGACGTATCACGAATGTGGTGCTGATCCACGCCACTGTTTAGCGCGCCAAGAGACGCACGAGCACATTCACGCTCCGCTCGGCCAGACGAGCCTCGCAGCATGCACAGGACGCAGCGATCGCGTAGGCCTAGGATACATGATGGTGTGTATGATCTCTCATCATCTGCAGTCATTGCTTAATCAGGCGGTGCGAGACAGCTATGGTCACGTGTGGCCGCTCTCTCTTAGAGACTCAAAGTTGAAGGCTCTTCTGCCGCGGTTACCTCGATGGTAGGCCTTTCGCAAGGGTTTACGCTCCTGTCTAGAGCTAGATAAGATCCACGTGATTGAAATTCTCTCAACAGAGCTGCTGACGCTTCTCTTCCACATCGTGGATAGGTGGTATGATCAGCCCAATTTCAAATTCGACCGAAGCCGGCCGGCGATTCACCATCCGCTTGCCGAGCTTACCTGATCTCCCCCTTCATCTGTCGCCAACAAGGCAAACGCACCGCCTCAAATCCACAGCTTGAGCGCTCGCTAGTGCCATTTGAGGCATCACCACATAAGTATCACTCGACTTGAATTTTCAAACTTCCCTTTTCGCACGTACGAAAGAGTGTTCGGACCATGAGCTCAAGCGAAATGGATCTACAGTAGTGACGCAGGCGCAGATGCAGGACACTTGACTCAGCGTTCATGGAACAAGGTCAATCTATCTTTTCTCCCGGCAAATCGATCCATACCGGCGGGCGGCAAGGCGCCCGGCCTCTGCCGCCCGATGACCAAGCCCCGCCCGCACGACAGCCAAACTGGGGCGGCCGGCGTGTCTGTAATCGAGGTCCGCGAACAAGACCTGACTTTCCGTAGCGTTCACCAAGGTGAATACGAGCGCGAACGGATCAAATGTATCATTTTGCGCTGTAGAAATACATGCAGTTCACTCCTGCATTTGCGACGGAGACCTCGCCCCTGAATTCTCAGAGCCTGATGGGATTCGAACTTCTTGAGGGGCAGCCGCCGGTTGGTGCATGCTCGTCGTGAACGTTGCCAGCCCCCAGGCATTACTGCCAGCTCGAGCACCGCCCAAGATCGGCTGTGCGTGTGCCTTGGGCTGCATCGCAAAATCGGGACGACCGGACACCTGAGAGGGCGAGGAAAAGAAGGTGTTCAGAAAGAGCACTGCAAATTTCAACGACCTTTGAGCAGCCAAATGCACCTTCTCAATTGTTGCCCATCGGGGCTGTGTATCCTGAGCGACATGCACCACGTTCGTTGCTGGTTCGTACACGCCAACAGGTCGCGCGAGCTTCTGTGTGACTGATCCTGCGTGAGGGGCGTTGGAATCTATGCGTTTCTGCAGACGGTCGATCTCCTCAAAATCGCCCAACGCCTCTTCTGGGCGCACGAAATTGACGAGCCTCTCTTTCCTTCCGGCGTAGAGCTCTCCATTCATGGCTTGTGTACTCCTGGCCATCATCAGCATCCAATTCTCGGAAGTGACACTGGCATTGCTCAGAATCGCCTTTTGCCTCTGTCTATCGTCGGCCCTCACGAAAGGGGTGCTACCAGAATCCCCGAATAGCGTGCGCACCGGCTCAGCAGTGAATGGGTCCATCGTGCTGTGCTCATGCGACTCTCTGAGCTGTCTAGCAAGGTTTCGCAGCTTCTCCGCCTCGCGATCTCGAGGTTTTTCCTTGTAGCGCATGGATGCGGTGTTCGAAGCAGCAGCGCCATCATCGGTTGCGCGAGCAACTCTGCCGCCGGATTCGCGCACTGCGCCGATGACCGCGCCTCCCATTTGTCCCTCATCGGTTGCGCCCGCTTCCTTTGCGGCAGCCTCGTAATAGTCGTCCACGACACTTCGCCCATCTAATGTGGGCAGACATGAGCACATGTCAGCGAGTTGAATAAAGAAGAACACGCAAAAAGACGCGCTCACATCTGACACAGGCTCTGCCAAATACCTTGAAGACGTTCCTTGCAGCGACAACAGCGATTTTGCGACCTTTCAGCTTCGGGTCGATTCTGCCAGCATCAACGAGTTCCTCGCGCTCCTTATGTGTCAAAAAGAGTCGCACCAGTAAAGGCGTGCGACGAAAGAAGTAGAGCGAGTCCTTGAAGCCGCACGCTCGGGCTGCATCTACAGCGAGACAGTAACGTCGCTGTGGGTCTGACCTTGTTGAGGATGTGAAGGTTGCAATACGCCATTCACGACCTGTGAGAGCGCCCGAGGTCAACTTGAGTCAGGTGCCTAACCACAGGCTCGGCCTAACGCCTTCTGAGACTTGTACGTACCACCTAGCAAGTTGCCGTGAATGTCAATCTTCTTTTCACCTTCTTCGTCCTCGTCGAGCTGGAGCTCGTCGGCGACAAAGGTGTACTCCCGGCCTTGAACCCAAGCGACTTGGGGCACGTCCACCATCTGCGACTCGTCTTCTGACGCATCTACCCCAGCCGCGTCATTCTGTGCGTCATCCTCATCGTGGCTACCTTCTATATCTTCCTTCTCTGGGCCGTCTTCCCCTGTTCCTTGCTCGTCGTCTTCACCATCTTCGTCGTCTTCGCCGTGTGCCCACCGAGAAGGGGTTCGGTCGCTGACTCGCGCGCCACCAGTCATTTTGAATTTTCCAGGAGCAGGGCTATCGTTGGGTGTGGCGCTACCACCTGCACCTCCACGGGCTCTTCTGCCGCCACGCTTGCTGTACCTATACCCTTTGCCTCGACCCATGCCACCTCGCGCATCGTCCTTGGTGGCCAAGCTGAAGCTGGTCGCTGTGCCTTTGACGCGTTTGACAGCCGGAACCAGCGTAGTCTGACCAAACTCGGACACTAGCATGAATCGCGATCTGCTGTCCACCGGAACCAAGTCAGTCTCGCCGGCATCTGAGACCTTGTCTTCCTCTGCATCTCCCCCCTCATGCAAACCTTCCTCTTCATCCTCGTCTGCTCCGGCGGAGACAGCGCCGCGCTTGGAATGTCGGCCCTGGCCAGCTCGCGCTCTACCTCCTCGGCTTCCTCCTCCTCGCCCTCTCGAGCCACGACGCTTTTTCAGAGGAGCTTCTTCCTCGCTCTCGCTGCCGTTGTCCGCGCCAGTGCTAGCTTGAAATTCTTCAAAGACCTTCTGATCGGCAGGATGATGGGGAAAATCGTCGGTCTCAGCGTGTGTCGCACTCTTTTCTCTGGTGCGCGTCCCCGCGGCTTTGCTTCTGCCAAGGCTACGGCCTCTGCCAGCGTCCGCACGTCTTCCTCTGGGCGTCGCGTCCATCTCGTCGCTCTCCTGATCCGCACCCTCCTCTTCTAGGCTTTTGCCTCCAGCACCTGGCCCAGATGCATCAGCTTCGTCCCCAACAACGGGCTTCCCGCGCTTGAGCGGTCGTCTATCGCTGGAAGGTCTAGTGCGACTAGAGCGTTTCGGGGTAGAGACTGGGCCGGACTGGTCGTCATACTCGGCCTCATCTTCGCTCGGCTCTGGCAGAGGTGTGGGCGCCTTGGTTGCCCTTTGCCGACTTCGCGCTGCAGCTGCACGAGGCAGCCTCGAGCTTCTTCCAATCGGACTGCTCACCACTTGCGAGGGAGCATCAAGGATTAGACCCGATTCTAGCTGAGAAGTTCCGGCAAGAACAGGAGGAGGCAGCGAGCTGTCCTGAGCGTCGGCGCTGGACAAGGTGGATGAGGTAGGCACACTCACGTCGGCTCCATCGTCTGGGAGACTAGAGCCAACCTCTTCCTGCCTTTGAAGCGCCTCGAGATCTATGCCAGCTTCGGATGCAAAGTGGGCCTCGCTTCGCGATCCTGTCCGACCTGCCAGGCGAGCGCGACCGGATGTGCGCTGCGACATCTGCGCGTGACGAGTGGGGTGTGTCCGTATGGGGCAACGTTGATAACGCCGGTGTGTGAAAAGGCGCGGCCAGCGGGCATTAGAAATTGAGTCACCCAAGTCCCCACTCGTGACTTTGGATGATAGTATCAGTCGAGAAACACCAGCGTTTGCCTGTTCATACCCTTGCGGACCTCTAGCAAGCTGGAATCCTCAATGGCCATGCATCACCTCGGATCGTGAACTGTGGTTGCTAAGTCTGAGTGCGCATGCATGAGTGAGCTCTACTCTCAACGCGTATTGCACGATCACGTGTCGCGTTGTGCATGATGCCCCATCTAAGCGCGTACGGTATGCAGCATGCAAGCAAGGCTGCTCGGGCTACGCGCCTCCACGTGGCGGTGTCGTGGG